ACGTGCCTCACCCAGTCACATGTTTTGCAAAGTCTCAACCAATGTTCCCTCTAGGCTGAGTTAGTGTGAGCTGGCTAATGGTTTTTTAGCCTCTGGCTCACACATTTTTTGTCATCGCTCAGGAAGGAGGGCTCCAGAGCAAACTAGTTTATGCAGTAGCCAAACCGCTTGCTCGCAACTTTAATGCCAGTAGCTCAGAAAGTAGAATTTTTGCTCACAAGACTCCACAAGTTAGAGGGAGCATTGGTCTCAACCGTGTCTCAGAACTGCTTTCCATACTAATACCACTGGAGAGGCCCTCAGCTTATAAAAATTCCTTCCTTGTTTCATTTGGAATCACTTTCAACGACTAAGCACCAAACCTGCCTGCCTGCCGGCACAGCAATCCATAGCCCACTCCCAGGTCCTATCAGCAAAATCCCTTCCCACAACTGAGTTTCAGACACAGGGACAGAACCTACCTGACAGTGAAGGAGAGAGCAGACTCCAGAGGAAGGGTGTATGGGAGCATCAAGGCAGATGCTAGGCGCACAGGCAACAGGTTGGCAATGCTCGTGAACAGCCCCCTCCTCTCAGCGCAAGCTTCTAAAAGGGCTGAAAGATGGAAACAAGCGTTATTCCAGTCACCAGTTCAGTGAGGAAGGTCGCGAGTTCAGTGAGAAACCCCCACCCCTCCCTGTATTGAGAAGAAAAAACAGTCACCAATATTACGCTCTCTTGTGGTCAGCCATGCCACCAGCCTTTAGTCCAAAAAGGCTGGAACACATAAGAACATAAGAGGCGCCAATGTTGGATCAGGCCAAAAGCCTATCCAGTCCAACACTCTGTCACACAGTGGCCAAAAGTACCAGGTGCCATCAGGAGGTCCACCAGTGGGGCCAGGACACTAGAAGCCCTCCCACTGTTGCCCCCCCCAAGCACCAAGAAGACAGAGCATCTCTTGCCTTGGAGTCCCTATCTATACCTTGTGGCTAATAGCCACTGATGGACCTCTGCTCCATATGCTTATCTAATTCCCTTTTGAAGCCGTCCATGCTTGTAGCCGCCACCACCTCCTGTGGCAGTGAATTCCATGTGTTAATCACTCTTTGAGAGAAGAAGTACTTCCTCTTATCCGTTCTAACCCGACCGCTCAGCAATTTCATGGAGTGCCCACGAGTTCTTGTATTGTGAGAAAGGGAGAAAAGGACCTCTTTCTCTACCTGCTCTATTCCATGCATAGTCTTATAAACCTCAATCATGTCACCCCTCAGTCGTAGTTTCTCCGAGCTAAAGAGCCCTAAGTGCTTTAACCTTTCCTCATAGGGAAAGTGTTCCAACCCTTTTATCATTCAAGTTGCCCTTTTCTGCACTTTTCCCAAAGCTATAATATCCTTTTTAAGGTGTGGTGACCAGAATTGCACACAGTATTCCAAATGAGGTTGCACCATTGATTTATATAGGGGCATTAGGATATTGGCTGATCTGTTTTCAATACCCTTCCTAATAATCCCAAGCATAGCATTGGCCTTTTTTATTGCAGTCACACACTGTCTTGACATTTTCAGTGAGTTATCTACTATGACTCCAAGATCTCTCTCTTGTTCAGTCTCTGCCAGTTCAGACCCCATCAATGTGTATTTATATTCAGAATTTTTGGCTCCAATGTGCATCACCTTGCACTTGGCCACATTGAACCCCATTTGCCATGTTGATGCCCACTTGCCCATCCTTGACAGATCCCTTTGGAGTGCCTCACAATCCTCCCTGGTTTTCACCACCCTGAACAACTTTGTATCATCTGTAAATTTAGCCACTTCACTGCTTACTCCCAACTCCAAATCATTAATGAACAAGTTAAAAAGCATTGGACCATGTACTGATCCCTGCGGTACCCCACTGCTTACCACCCTCCACTGAGAAAATTGCCCATTTATACTCATTCTCTGTTTTCTATTAATTAGCCAGTTTTTGATCCACAAAAGGACTTGTCCTTTTATCCCATGATCTTTGAGCTTACTTAGGAGCCTTTGATGAGGAACTTTATCAAAAGCTTTCTGGAAGTCAAGGTAAACAACATCTATTGGGTCCCCCTTGTCCACATGTCTGTTCACCCCCTCAAAGAACACTAGCAGGTTAGTGAGACAAGATCTTCCCTTACAGAACCCATGCTGAGTCTGCCTCAACACAAGTACTGAGCTGTTTTCATGAGATTAACACTGCTCTTCTTGCACTACACAGCAGGCCAAAGAGTTACGTCTGTTGCATGATACTGTAAGAAGGGACCATTCACTGCAATACCTAATGTCCTTCTGAACTTCTAACTCAGTTAAATTCACAACAACTTCATGAAGAAGGAAGCGGGTCTTAGGGATTCTGCCATTCTAGAGCCAGTTCAGCCACTTAGTAGTTGCAGTTAAGTTCTATCTGCAATTCCCCACCGCACCTCTAGGCATAATCTGAAGGAGGGATTTGCTGATCACACCCATGGCCACATTCACAAGCTCATGGACCTACCCTCGAGAAAGATCCACACAAGTCCAATTTGAGATGCTACAGCAGAAGTGGGGAATTGCAAACATCGCTGACACTTCTGAAAGGCCAGAAGCTACTATCTATCTAGTCCAGTTTAAAGGCTGAAGCTATTTCTGCAAACCGTGAGTGTTGCATGCTCATTTCCAGTTTATGGTGACTCTATGCATTTATTTATTTATTTTTTAAATCCCCGGAGGGATATTTTTTATTTTGCAAAACTACAAAAACTACAAAGAAATAATAGGGAAGGGACTACATCTAAGGAGAAAGGAAAGCAAACCACACTAATCTAAAACCCCAAGAGGAGGAGATCTTTTCACTGTTAGTTAAAATGTTAGTACTGTTGGAGTTAATGTCACAATATACTTCTAGAGTTCTCTCTCATAACAACTAACACAATAACATATAAATAGCCAACTGTTAAAGTGTACTTTTTTAAAAAGCATGAATGCTGTCAAATACTTGTTGCAAGAAGATAAAATTAAGAACATAAGAGAATCCATGTTGGATCAGGCCAGTGGCCCATCCAGTCCAACATTCTCTGTCACAGAGTGGCTAAAACCAAGGTGCCGTCGGGAGGTCCACCGGTGGGGCCAGAACTCCAGAAGCCCTCCCACTGTTGCCCCCAGTTGGGAGCAGATAGAGCATAAGAGAAGCCATGTTGGATCAGGCCAGTGGCCCATCCAGTCCAACATTCTGCATCACACAATGGACCAAACCCAGGTGCCTTCAGGAGGTCCACCAGCGGGGCCAGAACTCCAGAAGTCCTCACACTGTGGCCCCCCAGGCCCCAAGAATACAGAGCACCACTGCCCCAGATGTGGGAGAGATAATTAGGGCCAGCCAAAAGGTTGGATGGCCATAGCAGTATTCAGGGCTTTTTTGTAGAAAAAGCCCAGCAGGGACTCATTAGCACAACAGGCCACACCCAATAGCAGAAACTCATTAGCATATTAGGCCACACCCCTGACAGCA